GAGAGTGATCTACCAATATTATCCCCTTCTATCTTTCTATAAAGAAGGTCACGCAGAAGTTTACAATTAATCATGTCGATTTCGTAGATAATAGCAGGAATTTCCAAATCTAAGCAGCAACCCAAGACCTTCAAAACATTTTTGTGGCGGTTCATCAACACCGTGACTACTATGTCGTTGACAGCATAGGACGCCAATTTGTCTTCGTTACCATAAAAATGGAACTTCTTCACCAGAATAGACCGTTGCTGAAAAATGCCGCTGAAGTAATTGCCAGTTCCATCCCGCATAACAGCTCTGGAATCATCTTCACTTAGAACAGGGAAATCGACGTTTGTTGCTTTATTAAGTTCTTCAACGGTGAGGACGCGATAAGGAATGTTATACTTACCATTAGAGGAAGCAATAAGCCCTTCTAACAGCTTGCCTCCATTTTCAATATACAAAGGCGATAATTTCTCATTCCTCCTTTTCAAGAACCTCATCTTTCTTTTCACCCACTCCATCAATTGCAATTGAGGAAACAACCCAAGTCTTCACAATTGTGAATTGAGAGAGAGAAGGGTGGGGGGCTGGGAGAAGAAAATGAGTTAAATTTTAATATAATGATGTGTGTAAATAATTATGAACCTGTAGGTATAATCCGTGTAAAACAAGTAGGTATACCTTTTTAGTGTGTTAAATTAGGCCGATCTCATTAAATTATAATATATTTGTTCTCTTAATAAAAAAATATTATATATAATAAAAAAATTCTTTATTTGTAATCATCGATTCACCTAGTATATATCTTCTTCTATATACAGCCAATTCACAAAAATTACTCCGGTTTCAATTAAAAATAATAAAATTAATCTAGAGCAGGTAAAAGAGATTAGCAATTTATCATATGAAAAACCTAGTATCACAAGAAAGTTTTTCAATTAGTACAATTCACCTCAAACTATTCCTTACTTTCATTAAAATTCTCTTTCACCCTTTAAAATTTCATATTTTCGTACATGAAAGAAGAAGACATGAACTGTACCGTAAAATCAAGTGGGTGGCGCCCCCAAAGAGAGGCTTTTGGGTTGCAATTAAGACTGTCAATGGATTGAATTTTAATTCGAATCCGATGAAACTAATGAGAGATAGATTTAGGATCTCAGTCCGATAACTCAATCAAAATCCGAATTCGACAATTCGTTAACTAAATGGATTAAATATAGATATAAGTCAATCTGATCGATAAAAGTTTAAAAAGTTGAAAATTTTATAATTATTAAACTCGTTTAAGAATTGAAAAAACTGGAAAAAAGAAGAAGTTAATTTCCCTAATTTATTTAATTTAGAATCAGATATCAGATAATATAGCAAATTGGATATAGATTTAATAATCAAATATCCGTTAGATTATTGAATCGGATCAAATCGAATATTATCCAATCCATTTACAGCCCTAGTTGCAATCTGTTGGGAAAATGAGCAAGGTAGAGTTAGAATTGTGGGCAAATCCTTTGGATTTATAATTTTAAAATGAATAAGTTGATGATAAATAAATTACTTATTTTAAATCTCTAAGCCCATGCTTGACAACCATTAAAAAAAAACATTTTAGAAAAAATAAATTTTTGAATAGTGATTTTTTTGGAAAATATACGATTAAAAAGTAGGAAATTTTTTTTAGATTTACTTGAAAGATGTTTTATTGTAAAAATGTGTGGTTGAAAATAAATTTGAATAAAAAAGGTGCTTTGTTTTAATTGTTGTCAAATAAGGGCTCAGTATCCCCTTATTTATTACCTTACCGACTATTTAGGCAAAATATAGATGCAAATTCTTACTTTAAAAAATGAAAAGAAAAAGGTGAGTGAAAAGATGTGGAAATAGAAAAAAAAAAACTCCGAATTGAGATTAAATGAGAAAAAAAGATAAAGGACAGCAGAACAAGATCGTTTTCCTTCCTTTTTCGAAAGAAATATTAATTGTTGACCTCACTTTTTGTAGAGGTGGCATGAACAACAGATCTTAGATCCTTTTACCTCCAAGTAGCTCCTTCCCGCACACTTGGACAAATCGTTAGAGCGTACGGACGATCTCTAATGGTGGGGAAGGCAGCCGCTAACACTTTGATTGTCAAGACCGCCTATGTAAGAGTATATATTTGGGTGCGTGACATGCTAAAGATGTGAGCCGCTTTAAGTAATAGGGGCCAAGAGTGATAGAGAGAGCAAAGTTATATGTTGAGAGCATAAAGTTGCATTACCTTGAAATGACACTAAGTGTGATGTTTTATAATGATGAGTAAGAGTCGTTGGATAAAGAGACATGTGGCCTCATCCTAGCGGTTGAGGCCTCTTGTCACATACAACAATCAATCATTCCTAGGTCATGTTGCATTTAATGTTGTGACGGCTTAGAGCCATGACCTGACATGTAAAACTAGACTTGACTTGTTTAATTGAGTAAAGTTACTTATCCATTGGGTTGTCACACCACCCACTTGATACAAGATTTTGTATGAAAATCTTTTAAGACGCATCTACCTACCTCACCTCATCCATGAGGATTCAGCTCCCCTTGGGCATTCGGCCAAATTGGAGTTCGACCAAATTGCCACATGGGCAGAATGATATGGAGTATGAGCCTAGGTTCGCTTGTCGTGTAGCTGTCGTTTGACCATGCTTGGAGCCTCGTTGAAAGAGACATGACATTTATTACTTTATTTTAAGTTCAACTAGACATGCAATTCAAGCATGTTTGCCTAAGGTTAAAAAATTTTTAAAATATGACCTCAGTTGAAAAACAAGTTGCCCCCCTTTATATCACATTCCATTACATTAATTTTTTCTCTCTCTTCATCTCAACCATCCATTCATCAAATAAAATAATAATACACACAAATCAAAAACTTTTCAACCACACATCTCCCATCAATCACTATTCTAAAAATTATCTACCCCCC